TCCCGCTGAGCAGGGAGCCCGACGCGGGGCTCGATTCCAGGACCCCGGGATCATGACCCGAACCGAAGGCAGACGCTCAACGACTGAGCCACCCAGGTGCCCCATCTGATGACCATTCTTAAGAAGACTTAAAAGCATGTTTTTCTTTTCCTGCACTATCCCTCGCGTGCACGGACGGATTCTGAGAAGTTCCTACCCTGCCCCATAGCCGCATTCTATCTGGGGATTCGGTTTGCGCGGTCTCTCAGTAAGGCGCTGCAATGCCCCTCGTGAGCCCGCCGAGTCCGCCAGGGGGCAGCAGAGACCTGGGCGGCCGCAAAAGTAGAGGGCATGCGGGGGAGATGGAGGCAGAGGGAGCTACGCGGAGAGATCAGCTTTGGCACTTCGAGGTCAGCGTCGCGCTGCCAGCTTGCTTTACGGCTTTCGGCAGATTGCCTTGCGGCTCTTCTCCCCTTCCGACTTGATTTTCGGCTCCTCCTCCTGTCCTTCCCGCCCGCCCCGGGCCCGCTCTCGTTTTGGACCTTCTTCCCAGGGTTCTCTTGCAGTTCCTTCCCAGTCTCCTCTGCGCGGCTCTATCTAAACTCCCTTCCCCTTGCATTTAACCTAGACCGAGCTCCCTGCGTGCACCGCGCGCTGCCCGAGGCGCGTAAGTGGCGGGGTGGGGGGAGGGAGGACGGCCCAGTTGGGGTGGTTCCGGCCGGGGGCTGTGGAGCGTGGGGCTGCGTAGATTCTGAGTAGATCGATTCGGGCGGCGGTTGAGCTTGTCTTGCGGGCTCCAAAAGAGTGATCCTGAGTCCAGGGCCTGTACTAGTTAGTACAGTAGGGATTCAGGATCAGGGCTTACTGGGAGGGACAGGAGTACAGGAGACTTGGACCATCCCGAGACCCCACGACGGGGTGCAGGCGGCGTATTGTTAATTGTGACAGTCCGGTGCACCGGCGCGAGACCTCCCAAACGCTGCTTGTTGACAGGAGTGAAGGGTGCTGAAGTTTGTGTCTGTAGCTAGGCGGAGTTGGGAGGAGTGGCCGCAGTTGGGAAAGAATTACCCATTTCAAAGGAATTTGACATTCAAGTTTAGCCACATATTTAGCCTTCATAGGTTTTTTTTTTTTTTTAAATTGAGATACAATTCATATATGATTAAATTCATCCGTTTAAACAGTTCGAGGGTTGTGCAACCATCACCATTTTCTAGTCCCATAACATTTGTATCACCCCGAAAAGAAACCCACAATTCGTTAGCCGGCACTTCTCATTTGTCCCTATCCCCTCCCCCCCACTCATCTACTTTTTGTCTCTGAATTTGCCAATTCTAGATAAGTGGAATCCTACGGTTTGTTTTTGTGTGTTGGGCTTATTTCACCTAACATAACGTTTTCAAGGTTCATCCATGTTGTAGCATTGTCAATACTGCACTCCTTTTTATGGCTGAATAATAATAATCCTTGGTAGGGGTATACCACATTTTGTTGCTCCATTAGTTGATGAGCATTTGGGTTGTTTCTACTTTTGGCTTGCTAGACCTTTTAAGGTCTGAACTCAGTCTGAGACACATTTTTATTTTTATTTGTTATTTATTTATTATTATTTTAAAGATTTTATTCATTCATTTGAGACACAGCATGAGCAGGGGGAGAGGCAGAGGGAGAGAGAGAAGCAGGCTTCCCCCGAAGCCAGGAGCTGGATGTGGGGCTCGATCCCAGGACTCTGGGATCATGACCCCAGCCGAAGGCAGACGCTTAACCATCTGAGCCACCCAGGCGCCCCGAGACACATTTTTAAACGAAATTCTCATAAGCCAGCATTTAACTCTGGGACTGGCTCAGGTATTTTAGTGGCCTCAGTTCTGGTATCTTTTAGGGAAAGTTGTCTTTTTAAAGTCGTCTCTTAGACCATTAATTGTAGTAGCTAGCAGAGAAATATTTGTGTTGCTGAGTGATGTGTGCCATGACCTGTTAACCTTGTGATATGAACTGGGTGCAGTTGGAGATGAGTGTATGAAAAATGTAGCTGATAATAGCTGTGGGAGAGAGGTTTTATCTCAAAACCAAATAAAAAAACCTGTAGTTGATCCTTATTATTCACAGACTATTTGGGAATGTATCTACCCATAAATTTCTTTGTAACCCCTAAATCAACACTCATGGTGCTTTGAGGTATATTTAGTGTCACATTTTTCTCATTTTTGTACTTTTTGGTAGTGATTTTGCAGTTTGGAATGGCCTCTAAGCATATTGCTGAAGTGCTGTCTAGCATTACAAGTGCAAGAAGGCTGTGATGTCTCTTACAAAGAAAAGAAAGCTTCTTTTAGATAGCATTGTTCAGGTATGAGTTATATGCTGCTGGCTATGAGGTTGTTGTTAATGAGCTAATATATATGGAGTGAGGTATCTTTCAGTAGAAACACACATAAAACAAGATTATGTATTGACTAAGAAAATGTTGTGACCAGAGGCTCCCAAGAACCTAACCCTGTGTTTCTCCTAGGAGCAAATGTTTCAGTATTTGATAATTCAGTGTTCATGATGACTTTATAGAACTACCATGAATGAGAATTGACTGCATAACCAATGTAATTATTCAAGGGCAGAAAGCCTAGTGTGGATATTCTTCTATCTCTGTAACTTTTAAAATTTTGCCACTCAAGGTATTCATTTTTAATACCATACTGGCAGTTATAAAGTGAAGAGAAGCTAAAATAAAAGTAAAATGCTCTCTATACTAGTGCTAGGTCAGGACTATGTTAAGTGCTGGAGATTCAGTAATTAGTATATGGGCCTTTCTGTTCTTGAATGGCTGAGTGTGGATTATGAGTGTAATGTGTGCTTTGATGTGTGTCTAAAATGCTAGGGAACGTAGGATTGATTCTATTTAGAGTGTAACCAGCATAAGGCTTCAAAGAGAAGATGACATTTGAAGTTTCGCAAAATGTTACAGCAGCATGTACATAAATGAAAATAAAAGAAAAAAACTTGATCTCCAATCCTGCTGTTCTTAATCCTTGCAATCAAGATCCTCTCCCGTCACTGAGTTCTGTCGGTTCTGCCCCCTGTAATACATATCCAGAGTCCATTCTTTCTCCGCATGGCCATGATCTTTATCATTTTCTCTCTGGAGTGTTCTAACAGACTCCTAACTGATCCCTCCCTCAATTATTCACTGTTGACAAAGAGCCTTCTGACACCTGAATATAATCTCATCATTCTCAGCTTAAAATTTCCATTGCTCTCCCAAGGTTTATAAACTAATGTTTCAAGCTTTTTAAGGTGGCTTATATTACCCTTCATGATCATGCCCTGCCTATCCTTTTTTTTTTAATTTAAAGATTTTATTTATTTATTTGACAGAGAGAGAACATAAGCATGGGGAGCAGGAGAGAGAGAAGCAGGCTCTCCACTGAGCAGAGGGTAGGATGCTGGGCTCGATCCCAGGACTCTGGGATCATGACATGAGCTGAAGGCAGACACTTAACCGATTGAGCCACCCAGGTGCCTCCTGTCCTGTCTTTAGTAAAGATGAGAAAAGGTCAGACAAAAGAGGAAGATTCCCGTATGTAACATGCCTCATTCCCTCTTACTCCTTCCTCCCTCCACTTATAATTAGAAACGCTTTTAGGTGAGAAGGAAGTAGATAAGAATAAAAACATTTTTACAAATCTTGTTGATCTTCTTAATATCTCTTGAATTCATCCATTTCTTGCTCATAGCCCCTGCCTGGTTCAAGCTCTTTCCCTTTCCATCCCACAATTTTTTTTTTTTTTTTCTTGAGAGGGTGGTGGAGGGGCAAGGGAGAGAGAATCTTAAGCAGGCTCCATGCCCAGCGCAGAGCCCAATGTGGAGCCCAACCGGGGGCTCAATCTCACAACCCTGAGCCAAAATCAACAATCGGAGCTTAACTGACTGAGCCACCTAGGTGCCCCTGTCCCACAAATCTTTTCTTGGTCCTTTGATTTTTTTTCTCTGGGAAAATATCTATCAGAAGAATTCTTGGGTCATATGGCAGGTGCATGTTTAATTTCTAAAGAAATTATCAGTTCTTTTCCAAAATTACAAAACATAAGGCTCCTAGAAGAAAATATAAAAGAATATCTTCATGACCTGGGCGTGTGCAGAGGTTTCTTAGACAAGATTTAGAAAGCAGTACCCACTTAAAAAAAATGTGATTACATCAAATTTAAAACTTCTCATCAAAGACCACTCTAAGAAAATGAATAGGCAAACATCAACACCTACCTAACAAAAGACTGATCTCCAGGGTATAAAAAGAGCCATTAGGGTTCAAGGCCTGGGGATAATCCTCTGTGGCCTGCTCTTCTACCCTCTGAACCTAAGTCATGATTCTTTATTCCTGGAGGGTAGCATGTGCTTACAGCTGAATAGTTTTATCATTCTTTTTCCAGCCAAAGGTGTATGAGAATTCCAGTAGCTTCACATCCTTGCCAACTTTTGGTGCTTTAGTCTTTATTTTTAGCTATTCTGGAGGGTATGGAGGGGTATGTCATTATGGTTTTAATTTTAGTCCTTGATTACTAATGATGTTGAACACTTTCTGGGCTTGTTGACATTTGGATATCTTCCTTTAAGCGCCTGCCCGGATTTTTGACTACTTAAAATTGGGATTTTTGTCTTTATTATTGAGTTGCAGGAGTTATATCTTTTTTATATCCTGGATATCAGTCTTTTATGGTTGTGTATCCATTTTCATAGAGTGCTCTTTGATAAGCAAAGTATTACATTTTGGTGTAGTCATATTTATCTTTTTTTTTTTTATTGTCACTGCTTTCCGAGTCTTGTCTAAGAAATCTTGACCACCTCTAGGATGTGAAGATATAGTTCTATATTTTCTTCTAGAAATTTTATGGTTGTAGCTTTTATATTTAGGCCTATGATCCATCTCTAGTTTTTGTGAATTGTGTGAAAAATACTTTCTGGAAAATATAAAATTTTTTCCCCATATGGATATCCAGTTGTCCCATCATTTGTTGAAAATGCCATTGCATTACATTTGTATCTTTGCAATTCAGATTGCCATTCAGATGACTGTATAAATGGTGGTTAGTTTCTGGGCTTTTTTTTCCTGTTCCACTGATCTTTTTTTTTTTTTTTTAAAGATTTTGTTTATTTGACAGAGAGAGACACAGCGAGAGCAGGAACACAAGCAGGGGGAGGGGCAGAGGGAGAAGCAGGCTTCCGGCTGAGCAGGGAGCCAGATGCAGGGCTCTATCCCAGGGCCCTGAGATCATGACCTGAGCTGAAGGCAGATGTTTTAATGACTGAGCCACCCAGGTGCCCTAGTCCTACACCAATTTCATTAGAACAGAACCGCTGCATTTTCTCTGTTGGTTATATCTACAATTTCATTTTTTCAAAAAGGATACTTTTTCTAAGATTTTGAAAAATATTAAATGAGATGACCCTTAAGCTTATTTCAAGTACTGCTGAACAGAAGAACAGAAGAATAGGTAAGAGAAGTAGAGGTAGAGACCTATACAAGCAAGAGGAAGAAAAAGAAAAAAAAAACCCAAATTACTAATATTACTTCAGAAAAAGCAATTTCTAAAAATTCAGCAAACTTCAAAATAATATTCCTAAGATATTACATTAGGTACAGTGTCTAGCCTTCTACTGCCTAAGTTCTGATATCAG